TTGACATGTATTATTCTTTATGAAGATAAAAAGTTGTTCTTGTTCTTTAAAACAAAATGTGCTTTTAAATTGATAAAAATTGGCAGAAAAATGAGAAAAATTATTTTTGTTACCTTCTGTAATTTTGTAACATATAAAAACATAAAAACCTCGCCTATCCTGTCCTTTTGCGAATTCTTTATGAAGATAAAATCTATTTCCCTGTTGTAAATAAATATGATGCCGACATTGAAGTAGGAAAATCCTGAATTGATCATATTTCAAACTAATGCTTTGGGTTCTGAATTTGACCTTTATTACCTTATGAGTGACCAGTTTCAAATTTTAAAATACAGGTACATGTTGTTTAATTTTCTAGTGAGTACAATTTCTTGCTAGACTTGCTCAAAAAATCAAACTGTCTGGAATAAAATAAGGAAGAATTTAATTAAAAAAATGTTACACGCAAAAATTTCACTTACAATCTGATTAAAATATTGGGTCTCTGAAATATATTTAATGAGGTGGCATTAAAAGAGGAAGTATATGACTATTTAATTCTATAGAATTAATCCAATTTATTAAAAGGCAAGCAAAAAAAAAAAACTTTATATAGCTTTAATTTAAAAAATAAATATCCAAAAGTTTCCACATTACATAAATAAATTTAAAGCTTTTAAGATACTTTTATACATAAGCATTTTTTGGAAGAATGGTTTCAATAAATTATCAAACGGAAATAAAAGTTATAAAATTTAAAGTGATTTTTTGTAAAATATATGAAATGTAGCAACTCCAAAATATTTCAAAGAAAAAATACTTATATGTCATGCAAAATACATCTTAATTGACTTAGTAATACCAGTTAAAGGATTTATGAACATTTCCGATCATTTTTAGTTTTGTAAATTCAGGCCATTAATTTTTCGGCAATGTCAATTGCAAAAGACTCTTCGTTTGAACTTTCATTTTTTTTTTCATAACGTCAGAGTTCAATAAATAATCAATGTGTGTACTTTACTTTACTATACTATCGCCATGAAGCGTTTCTAATGTTAATGCTTAATCTCAATTGACACGGATATTGTGACACATTAATCCAAAGGCTTTTCTTTAGTCTTCATTTATATAACGTAAAAAACGACCGCAAAGTTAAGGAATTTACTTGTTAATAAATTTTATACATGACTGAAAAAAATCATTAAGTTACAAAATCAAAATATTTTCCACATATGTTTTTATGAACGTTTGCAAGGTTCCACTTCTCTTAGTTAAATAAAATTCTAAATACTTTTTTTCAGGACATGGTTTTACTTTACCTCTGGTCACCCACAGCCACGGAGTTCCGATTTCCTCTTTATTGGAGGTTGGAATACGTGTGCATTGTGTTTTCCCAACATTGTTTTGTTGCATATTTACGCATCAAAATCTGCCTTGTCTGCATTTCTGTAAAAACAAAGATTTAATTGCATTGCTTTAGATAAAGACAGTGTCCTGGAAAACTATTTTAAAAGTGATGATTTGAAAGGTTGTAGAGAGGACTTTCTACACTGATAATAAATTCATTCAATTAATCCTTGATGAAATGATTATTTCGTCTGAAATCAATGCCATTACGTATGCATTTCTTGCAATCATCCTGCTTGTTTTTCAAGAGTCTTAAATTTCACTTTGACACAAAATCTGAGTCTAAAAAAGTGATTACTTATCGTGACATCATCGCCATGCAAAATCAACTGTTTCTATAAATATTAAGTTTTCAGTTTAAGCACAGATAAAACCAACAAAAAAGAAACAGCTAGAAGGATGTATATTGTTGGACCAAACAGTTGTGTGCCAAAAATGAAGATAATTTTTTCCCTATATATTTCATTGAAAACAACATTTTGTAAAATCACTGGCAAATTGTCAATTTTTATCCAATTCATTTATCTATTTCAGTACTGAAACCAGAAAATGTGTAGTTATCTTTCTTTAAAAGATCATTACATATTTAGTTTTTAGTAAAAGATAGTTCATCACTTAACATCAGTTCTATAATTCAAGATCAAAGTTGACCATATAATTCATTTTGAGTTTGTGCTTAAAAATTTATGTCGCACTTAAATAACAATATTTTAAAAATATCAATGCTGATCAGATAAAAAAAACTATTGTTTTTATCAACTGTAACAATTTCTTGGGTTATCAAGAAATTTTTGATGAAATTTGTCAAGAAATGTTGTCATACCAGTGATTTTACAAAATGTTTTAAATGAAATATATACAGAAAAAATAAAATTATCTTCACTTTTGGCACAACTGTATTTGGGTTGTTAATGATGCATAAAATAATTTTCTAAAATTCTAAGACATTGTACAGTTTCTTTGATGTTCAAAACTATACCTTTCTGCTTCAAAGCTTACTAATCTATGCAATTTTTTAATTTATAATTCCCACTTTTGTGAACATTTGAATGACAAATTAAAAACTCTGCTGTTAAATTATGAACATTTTACTGTCCGGTGCACATTCTGCTTTCTATTTATAATACTTTAAATGTATAACATATGCAATTCAGGAATAAATAGAATGCATACTGTTGACCCAAACCACAAAGGGAAATCAAATGCTTCATGCTTAAAAAAGTTGAATATTCCTATAAACAGATAGACATTCTTCATGCACCATCTCATGAGTGAGTAAAACTAAAAAGTCTAACTATTTACTTTATACTTGATTTAAAGAAAAATGAAAATATTCAGTTTCCTTCAAAGTTCTACGCAAAATTAATATCCTTTAACAAGTTTTAACAGTTTTACGTGAAGAAACATATTATGTCTTTATGGTAGTAAAAGTCCGCTATAATTGAATTTTAGAAGATTGCTATCTGATAACTTGATTTTTGACATGGATATCGCTGTGTTATTTTTCCTGAACTGTACCCCAAAGAAAACTGGGAAAACTTGAAGAATATAGAATTGAGAATTGGGAAAGATTTTTAGAATTAACCGATAAATTTTTTTCTATTAAAAAGATGGAAACGTGTCGATTTTTCAATTTACAATTTTTTAAATTAAGTTTTTATGCCTTACATATGAAAAATTTTCAGTTGTAAGTATCAAGTATCTACATGTATTTTACTCCAATTTACAAATATTTGCAGCAAACCACAGTGTAGTACAATTTGAGTTTTGTCAATTATGGCTAGCAAAATGACAAACACAAAAAGATACTCAATGAAGTTTAGGCTTGGCGTTTTCCAAGTTAGATAATTGTACTCGCACATGATAATGATCTAAGCAGAGGTAAAGTAACTTTATTTTTATGATCTTAAATTGCTTGAGAATCTTCGCGAATAGAAAACGAAATGCCAATGACAGACAAAATGACAGGACTGCAAAGTATAATTAAACATTCATTGTTGTGTTTATTCTTTAAGAGCGTATAAATTTTAGAATTAAGATGATGAAATAATGTCTCTAAAAAAACCTTACTTTACTTACAAATGGGCTAGGAATTTGATTTATTTAGTTAGCTAGGGCCCCACATGGGAAGTCATCACCAATCCGATATAATGGTAAAGAGCAACGGATTTTGTCAAGTTTTGACAATACTAAGGACATTCAACCCGTCTTTATTTCGGTATAGTAAAAAAAAGGTTGGAAAATAGACGTTTGTGAAGACTTTCAATTATATGCCACTTACCCAATTCACCCTCTCCAATTTTTGTTGTAGTATAGCCGCAAGCTGACAATTTTTACATGATATGAAAACACTGAAGAAATAAGAGAAAAAAGTCTTCGCCACCCACCCTTCATTCCAGATTGAATTTAGGCTATTTTCGTGCTTGTAGATTTTTTTTTGAGACTGACTTCCTTTCAACTTTGGAAAAACTTTGCTAGGGATTTGAGATGTCATGACCAACTGCCAAGATCAAAAAGTTAGAAGTTCCATTCATAAGCCGACTTGATATATCCCAGTGAACTTGAAAAAAAAAACACCACAGAGTCTGACGCGTCTATTTTATATTTGAATGTTTTACTGACTTTAGATGATAAAAGCTACCATAATACACAACTAAATACTATGACAAACGAGATGGCTTTATCTTTTCTTTCGTCAGCATTTCTTATTTACATGTATGTAGTAATATTCCTGTATCACCTGCTTACGGTGTTTATGTCTCCCAGCATATTCGCTACTCAAGAGCATACTCTGGTTACCATTATATTTTAAACCGAAGCAGGATACTCACACATAAGCTGATGTTACCTAAATTTCAAAAAACCTTGTTGAAGTCAGTATTTCATAAGTTCTATGGTCGTCATAATGGTCCTGTTAATACCGGGTCGTATTTTGACTGACTCCAGTCCCAATTTAAAAATTTTGATTTTAAAGTTTAAAATTTTTGAAAATTATGATTACAAAAAAAGAACCCAATATTTTTGGCCTTTTTCAATCAGAGGTCACGTTCAGAAGGTCAATATAATATGACTCTCAACAATTGTATAGACACAATAGATAGAGTGTGATTTCATTTTCTTTAAAAAGATTTAGTGGCATCTTCGCTGACGAAGGGTTTCTGGGTGAAGGAGTATTATTAAGCTAATGGTTTTTTTCCATATTAGACAGATAACCGATATTGTCTTGAAAGTTTAATGTATTTTTAGGTTAGCTTAAACAAATGACTATCTAAATTCGAAAATATTTAATGATAGCCTAAATAAATGACAATGTAAAATCGTCAAGATTATTTATAATCACCGTGTGTTACCCTCTCTGACTATTAATTTTCAAAGCTTTTATAGAGAAATATCACAATATAATGAAAATATAATCGAAAAATTATAATATTCATGATTTTACTGATACATTACTTTTGCTTAACATCAGCGTTTTTAGCACCCCAGATTTTGTTGCGATTAAGTCGAGATTTGTTATTGACACTCAATATACCTTGACCTATTTGTACAAAATATAATTCTGCATAACTACAAAAAGGTTTAAATTTCTTTTGCGCATGATTTTAAGGGCTGATCCGGCAGTTCTTTAACACTGGAATAAGTTGACAAGTTGCTTGACGAACGTGATAACTTATTTTTTGACGTAAGTTGTTATTCTTACATTTACAAATTTTATTAAGATATTAGACTCCATTTGACCAAGTAAGTTTATTTATTGATTTTTATATAAAATTAATGAAAAGTGCCAGCATAAATCATAAGTTCATTAAAGTATTTCCATTTCTGAATATCTTCTTTTAAGTTAATCGGCAATTGTAAAATTCATCCAACATTATCACATTATACAGTACTTCATTCAAGTTTACATAAAAAAATATTTTAAATAAATGTATAAACACATTTTCAAAAAAAGATTCTTTGGATTGATAGTTTTAAATAATACTTTATACCATTTAATAGGGCAGAAAGTCGGGTCTTTTATCTCTTTTTAGACCCATGTAATAATATTCAAACTAGGAGGAAAACAAAACCTGCGGACAATTTGATTACCTTTATTATGTTTTTAAAAGCCGCAAAATAATTATAACCAATGAGACGTTATTTTTTTACAATGACAAAAAAGAGCGTTTTATATATATTAGTTTAAATAATTATGTAATGGCAAGTCAGTACTTATTTAATTAAGCTTCATAAAATATAGATTACATATATCAGGTTATATATATTTTAAAATGTGAAAAATTTAATGTGCATATGAACACCGAACATAGATTTGCTATGAATAAGAAAATGTCATCGATATTAATTTTAGCACAGAACAAGGGAAAAAAGAAGAAAAAAATGTAACAGAAAGATCTTTCCTATTCTGTTTTGTTAATCATAAACGAAAATATATGATTAATTTTGTTAAAATATCATTATTTTAAGGTCAACGTAAACAAACTGGAGTGCACGTTCTCTCTTAAAATCTGTTTTTTTGTATTGATCTTATTCGTTTTTAATGTTTTTTTTTGGCATTGAACACACGATATTGTAAAATATTTAATAAAAGTCATTAAGCTGATTTCTAAACCAGTTTTCTAAACCTTTTTAAAAAATCCAAACACTATATATACATTTAAGAAATATTTAGGATAATTTATAAGTATATTTTTCTGAAAAAATCCAATAATTATTAAAATTTCCTTCTAATATATATAACACTCTTTCTTGCATTGTAATATAATTAAATGACCCATTAGTTATAATTATTTTAAACGATTTCTTCATAGTAAAAACATAATAAAGGGGAGTAATCAAATGTTGAACCCGCTTTTGAAAATGAATTTCGAATCTCGAATTTCGAATCTCGTACTTTGAAACTCGCTTCTGATTGGTTAGTTTGGAATTTTTTATGAGTAAACATGTTTCTGGGCTTTCGTAAATAATATTCAAACTAGAATATTCCTTGAAAAGCCGCAATAAATAAATGACACGTTATTTTTTTAAGTGACAAGAGCGTAAATCTGTTTTAAAACTATGTAATGGCAAGTCAGTTTATCAAATAAAGGTGCAGAAGATATTTCGTTGGTTTATAATTTTAAAATGTGAAAAATTTAATGTGCATATGAACACCGAAAATAGATTTGCCATGAATAAGAAAATGTCATCGATATTAATTTTAGCATAGAACAAGGGCAAAAAGAAGAAAAAAATGTGTAACAGAAAGATCATTCCTATTCTGTTTTGTTACATAAACGTAGATTCAAAATATATTAGCTCTTTGTTGAAATACGAGGGATTATCAAAAAGTTTGTGGACTGAGGCTATGAAATTAGTACTATTTAGTCTGTGCTTTCAAAATTTTAAGAAGCATAAAACAACAAAAAGTAAAGAAATTTTGAAAATTTTAGCTTGATATATACATTCATTATTTGCGAAATTATCATAAAATAAGAAAGACATATATGGCAAGCCCTTTTGCCATTTATTCGGAAAATAAAATTTATCGTAAAATTACAGAGATATCTCCCATTTTAGAGAGATATCTCTTAAAAAATAGAGATATCTCTCATTTCTAAGAGATATCTCTATGATAAAGAGACATCTCTTCCACTTGAACTGATATCTCTTTCTCCTTGAGAGATATCTCTTTCGTGAAAAGAGATATCTCTTTCACCTAGAGAGATGTCTCTTATGCTTTTGGAGATATCTTTCCAAGTTAAAGAGATATCTCTTAAAGTAAAAGAGATATCTTTCTTAGTTTATTTTAAGAGATATCTATTAAAGTGAAAGAGATATCTTTCAAAAGTGTCTAAAAGAGATATCTCTCAAGCAAAAAGAGATATCTCTTTATTGCAAAGAGATATCTCTCTTCATTATTTTTATTTAAATTCCATTTGAAATGACTTCTACCTTTACCGGAAGTATAAGCTTTTTATTCACGGAAGTACATTAAAGTATTTTTAAATTTCGACATGTTCATGATACTCTACATTATAGCTTTAACAAACATGACAAGTAATTCAGTGTTGTCGAGATTTCAAATCACTAACAGTTGATTATATTTCATAAGCTGAGAAAAATTCGGTTCATTGCATTTGAGATTTTATACTTACTTTCATTTTCCTAAATATTAAACATTTAGCATTTTTATCAACGATGTTGGCATTATTATTTGTTGTTTCAAACAAGGGATTTATAGCCTTTTTGTCTACATATTACATATATATTATTCTGGATATTGCATGCTCAATCTTTTTTTTATAACAACGAAATTATTCCAGAGACTTTACTTCCTGTTTCGCTTTCAATTTAAATTATTTTATTTTAAGAATGACTAGAAAAGTGATATCTCTTTCATTAAAAAATATCTCTTTAGCTTAGAAAGATATCTCTTTTTGAAAATCTAAAGAGATATCTCTCTAACTAAGAGAGATATCTCTTTTAAAAGAGAGATATCTCTTTTAACCTTGTTCAAGCGATATCTCTCTCCCTTAAAGAGATATCTCTCTCGCTTATAGAGATATCTCTCTAGCTTATAAAAATATCTCTCTAAGTGAAAGAGCTATCTCTCTTACAAAAAGAGATATCTCCTTTTTTTAAAGATATATCTCTCTAAGGTATAAAGATATCTCTATTAGTCAAAGAGATATCTCTATAAGCTAAAGAGATATCTCTCTTATTGAAAAAAAATATTTCACGAATACATAGTAAAAGGGCTTGCCATATAGACATTATATGATCACCTGGCGCCGTCGCTGTTTAGTTTCATGACGTTCGACAACGTCATTGTTTGTCATTGTCCTCTTCTTCTACCTTATACACTTCTTTGAAGATTCCCTGGAGTTGAGTAAGGACTTAAACCAGCTTTGTTTATATGACTTTACAATGTCACGAACAGCGGCTTTCAATGCATATAATATTGCAAATAGATTTATACATTCGAAGCGATCCTCGCTGCCCTTGATTGTGCCAGCATATTTTGCTTTTTGGAGTTCAAAATGTACAACACATGATCAACGTCTTGATTTGTCGTGATTGATTTATCATACCTTGACTACAAATCCACATTAACTGTCCATCCCTTTTTTCTCTGAATCTATTTTGGCATTAAAAGACAAATACTCTTGATGCATATTATTTCTCTGTAGCCAATTTAAACATTCCTAAGTCTATACCAGTTTTTTTTTTTCAGGGACAAAACTTTATAGAATGTTGGAAAAAGAAACCCTGCCCCTTTTTGACGTTATTTGCAAGGCCTTATCTATTTGGACACTCCATTTAAAATTTTTGATATCATTTCAAAAAACTTCCAAAATGAAGCAAAAATTCCATATTTTATGGAACAATTGTGTCCGAACACATACCTAAATTAACGTGAGTTTAGAATGTAGAATGTTCATATCAAAAGATTTGTTCTCAGTTACACTTAGGTCGCAAAAACGGCGTGTTCGAGATTGCACCGCCTGGACATACCATTACTTAAAAAAACATTACTAATTATTAAAAAAAAATAAAATTTGTGATTTGTGGTTAATTCATTAGATAGAAAAGATGATGAAAACAAGATATTTTTAAATTCATTGATGTACCTCAAGCGGTTTTAATTTCATGGCGTTAGTCCACGAACTTTTTAATAACCCCTAGTAAGAATAAATTTTCATCCACAGTTATTTTAGCTAAATTTTGACGCAGAGCTTATAAATTGTAGAGTTCCTGCTTGATTTTAAATTTCTTTTTTTTAGAGAACCCTTTCCAAATTAATGAAAAATGGCGTCAGCTGCAAGGATTGTTGGAATCTTTGTTTTGTTTTTTATTACCTTCCTCATCGGTCTCATACCGTTTGCATTATTAAGATTGTTTGAGAAGAAATTTTCGAAGGAGAAACTTAGAAGGTGGATTGGAATTTTAAACTGTTTTACAGGGGGGATATTTTTTGGTACAGCCATTTTGCATTTGCTGCCAGAGGCTAGAGCACTTATAAAGGAGGCCATCTCTTATGATTATCCGGTCACAGAGGCTATAACCGGAGGTGGATTCTTAATTACGCTAACACTGGAACATCTCATCAGTTACCATGGTTTATCCCATGTCGGCCATTTACACGACAATGGACATGAGAACAAAATAGACCTAAACGAAGACGCTGCGACGAAGAGGGAAAATGAAATCAACGGAAAGTCCCTCGACAAATCAAAAGAAGCAGCAGAGTCTGTCAAGGTGGAAGTCGAACAACCTAATTTTAAATTTCTAGCTTTTCGGTCATTTCTTCTGCTGCTAGCTCTGTCATTTCACATGATATTTGAGGGTTTGGCCGTCGGACTCCAGACCGAGGAGGAGGATGCCTGGATTTTACTGGGGGTTCTCTCCCTCCACAAAGTCGCTGTCGCATTCAGTGTCGGATTTCAGCTGGAAGAAAATTTGAAAAAGTTTAAGTTTGTACTGTTGTCATTGTTTCTTCTATCCATTGTTGCGCCAATCGGGGTCGTTATTGGCTACATCGTGACGGAAGTGGGAGAAGATGCACATGGGCAGGACATTGCTTCGGGAGTTTTGCAGAGCATCTCTGTCGGTTGTTTTCTTTACGTAACTTTCTTTGAAATCCTAAGTAATGAAATACACATCACCAAGGAAAGGAGTCATTTAAAAGTCTTGTTTACTGTCATTGGATATTTAGTTGTCATTGGTATCCAGTTCGTCAAGCATGACCATGAAGGTCATGACGACCATTAGACAAGGGTAAGGTCGTCCGACAAGAGACGTTATAATCAAACAATGATTGGACTATATTGTTTTGACGTGATTTGTAAAGATTACTACAATTGATTCACCTGTATATTTATAATTGTATATCATTTACAAATGTATCTCACATCATTACTCTATGCTCTTTGTCTTGCCGTGATATTTTCACTAAACATAGGTTACATTTTATTCAATCCATATTGTTCAAATGCTATAACATTTGTCAATTGTAGTAAAACACGATTCAATTCATTTTTTTAAGCTTAATATGAACACTAAAAAAGACAAGAATTAAATGTCATTCTGCATTGAATTTCCTAGTCGTGCGAGAAAGAGTGGGGTAACTATAAAAGAAAAAATGCAAATGGACGAAAATAGAAAATTTATACAGTATGTTAAAAGACGCTAAGACATCAACATTACATCGACATTCAAATACATGTGTATCGAAGACATCTTATCAAATAACAATTAATTGTACTGTATTTTCATTCGTATACCGAATCGATATACTGTGTGCTTTATAAAGTTAGCTTCATATTTTAGCGGCTTTGGCCAGAGAGCAATACGCTGATTTATGAATACCGCAAATTAATAATGTACATATACAATATATATAAAGGTCTTGTGTAGCGCTAATTCATGATTACACCAACAACTCCATACCAAGTGATTGTGCTGAATTTACAATATACCATTTCATGTACACGTAAAGTATCCCATTGAACATGAAATAAATGACACCAAAGAGTCTGCCACATCTGATTTACTGAAAATAGACGATAAAGTCCAACTGACAACTAAATTGACAAAAGAGTTGACCAGCTTTTCCATCGTCAACTTTCCTTATTATAATCACCTCCTTATGGTGTTTATGTCTTTCAGATTATTCGCCACAATATATATAATATAATTATCTTTGTAAAATTCCCTCTACAAATTGAGAAGAAAAACGCGGTAAATATGAAGCAGAATTTATGCAAAATCTTATGGGTGGAAAGAAGAAAGCACTTGCTGTGGCCTTCAACTTGACATTTAGATATTTCGACGACGTATTGTCAATTAACAATAGTTATTTCCATTCCTATGTCGATACGATATATTCTGGTGAGCTTGAGATAAAAGATACCACAGAGTCTGACACATCTGTTTCCTACTTGGATATTTTACTTGAAAAAGAAACTAATGGTAATCTAACAACGAAGCTCTGTGATAAACGTGATGAATACTGTAAAACGAGAATATTTGGCGCACTACTAATTTTAGCGCCTTTGGCGCAATAGCCCTTGAGCGCTAAAATTTATTGTGCGCTGAAGGATGTCTAAATATCATTTTTTGTGTGTGTTCAAAGCTTTTACATAAGTACGTGTAAACCGGAACGCCCGATTACGTAATGTCGAAGGGTCATTGGATTTTATATACACACTAGCACTGCACATGTTCGGAGGACAGAAAGTTCAGCCAAATTATAATTTAATTAAACTATTGTTACCCCAGTAGTTGTTACCCGATTATTATCATTAGCACCTTCAAAGTTTGGCTTCTCGGTGTGTCAATCATCTATCGCCTCGAGGTAAACAATGCAATCAAGCATGGCGATTGAGTTTGCACCTGATTAGGATTACCGTTTTATCTGTGTAATTTTCTGTCGATGCATGAATTGTTTTAATATGATTTAAATGAGTAAATACTCCATTTCTTTTAATTGAAAATAGAAATAAAATAAATTTTAACATTGTGTCACGTCCATGTGATAGCAACACGTACCGCGGTAAAGTTAACGAATGTTTACTGATATACGGGAGTACTAATGTGTTTCCGTGCTTGACTACCTAAAAAGTCAAATACGGGTGTGGATATAAAAAACAAAATATCACATTTATATATTTTACTGACAGGTACAAGCGCTAAAATTTATTTGCAGCATTACACCTTCATCACCTGCATACGGAGTTTATATATCTCAGTTGATTCGATACGCTAGAGCAAGCTCTACGCATGAACAATTTCTAAAACAAGGTAAATTATTGACAAACAAGTTGATTAAACAAGACTATCAGCAGTCTCGTTTAAAGTCATCATTTCGTAAGTTCTATGGTCGATACCATTACCTTGTCAGCAAATACAATTTATCATTGAGTCAAATGCTAGCTGACTTTTTTTTTAATACTAATTGTTAGTCCATTATTTATACACTGAATTGACGACGGATTTTTCCGTTATTTCTTGATCATGACAAGGAGCACACGGCGGGCGTGACCGGTCGGCAGGGGATGCTCACTCCTCCATGGCACCTGATCCCACCTCTGATGTTTTGGAGGTCCCTGTTTGCTCTGCCCCTATTTTGTGTTGTTTTATGGACTTTGATATTGAATAATATTCGTTATCTCCATATCCTTCATGAAGAGATGAAGTAGGTCTTCATATGCATACTATAATCGTTGTACAGTATTTTCTAAGACAAATAAAAGTATTGAGAAGCACGTTGATGAAAAAAAAATATATCAACAGTTTCGTTGAAAGTCATCATTTCGCTAGTGTTATAGCCAATGCAATGACCTTTTCAAAAAATAAAATCAATCATTAAGACATATGTGGACACACGGCATGAGATACTCATTCCTCCATGGCACCTGATCCCACCTCTGATGTTTTCACTTTCCATGTTTGCTCTGCTCCTGAATTATATTGTTTGAATGACTTCTTAGCTTGAATATTGTTTATTAACAACACAATTCATACATGAGCTTCATAGATCTGCAAAAAATAAAAAATAAAATTTAAGACTATAACTAAATGGGAAGAAGAATATTTGTGTCCGTTATAAAAAAAAATGGAACATTCTTTTCTCTAGTGTCCTTTTTAGGAATGCTGCTTATTTAAACCTATCTTATACGATTTAACATACTAGTAACTTAGGGCATGCTTGCAGTTAACACTTTATAAACCGCTTTATAAAAAGCGTAAACTGTCCATAGTAAAGCATAGGTTAGAATAAGAATCACTCTTTATGATTTAATTTCACTTTAGACAATAAAAAATTGCTTCAAATTGAACATATTTTAAGATTAACGTCAAGCGGAGTAATACTTTTTTGACGTTACTCATTGTGACGTAGGCAACTTATGTTACACAATATAAAATAAATCTTTTATCCATTGAAATGACGTGTGACAGCTAAAATTAAATTATTGAATCTCAATAAAGTTAATATGAAGAACATTGCTTTGTCCAAATAAGAAATGACGGACAAATGATGAATCAAAAGATAGCTTCCTTTAAACTTTATAAAGACGAATGGACTCGACAAATATTATGCACATGTATATAAAGTTCTATGTGTATTGACTTTATTTCACAAAAGGAAATATTGTGACCCACAATAAAGCTTAATATTTTATATGACAAAAAAATTGGATTAGATCAACGATGTACGATATATATATATTTAAAAAAAAGGAATTGTGCTTAGTTTTGCATGATGTTGTTCTCTTAATTTGGGTCCACCTAAACCTCAGACAACAGCTAAAGAAATCGACTAATTTGAACAGTTTTGAAACCAAAATAAACAAGTATTTTTTTCTTTTCTTTTATATATATATATATATATATATATATATAAGAAAAGAAAAAAATACTTGTTTATTTTGGTTTCAAAACTGTTCAAATTAGTCGATTTCTTTAATCTGTTGTCTGAGGTTTAGGTGGACCCAAATTAAGAGAACAACATCATGCAAAACTAAGCACAATTCCTTTTTTTAAAAAATCAAATATGAGCAGGTCTACTACTTCCTTAATATTCTATCATGTTTATAATAAAGTTTGTACACTTATTGGGAGGGAACAATTTGACAGTCCCATATTCAGATAACTATCATGGATTTACTGGTCTTAAGACATTTTTAAAAAGATTTTTTCCGCTATATATTCCAAGTTAAGCCTCAGGGGTCATGATTTGAAGAAAGATGAATCTAAACTATGTAAAAAAAAGTTTCGCATAAGGCCCCACGCTTCTCCAGAAAATAAAATTTCAAAGAAAGCCAGTATATTTACACTGAACTCGAATGATGGCGTCATGCTTTTTTAAGAAACCTGAATTTCCTCTACCCAAGGACCAGTTGACCTTGGCCAAATCCTTCTGAAGAGCTTTAAAAAGGGTGTACAAAAGAAAAAAAGGTGTCTCTCAGAACCATAGGAATCCCTTACAAAAGATTGTTTTGAAATGTTCTCAGTTCTTATGCAATGCCGGAAATAAGGTGCAACTGAAAAAAACCCAATAAAATGCTCAATCTATAATCAATCCAACTTTTCAACAGCTCATCTGTATTTATACGAGTAGTAAACGTTTATCAAACATATATTTAATATTCTTCCTAATATCTATCTACAGTTAATAACAGGAACAACATTTTATCATAAGGCAAAAGAGATAAGCAAAAGTACTTCTTTATATTCTTTCTTCTTTCTATACACAAATAAAAAATACCTTTGAATATTAAAAAATATATTTAAGCATTCGGTTCATATAACAAATACAAAACCAACCATTTAACAATTTAACCTTTGAAAAATGTTATCTAGGATGACTGCTAGATAGAAATCATTGTTCCTTACTTAAAATGAATAATATTTCAAATTAGAATTAGAAATTCATATTAGAAGTAAAATCAAGATCTTTTAGAATACAGTTTCAACAAAAAGACATACAAAAAACTTGTGAAAACGGTAGTTAGAAAAAAAGATTGATTATGATGTAAAACAGTGCGTTTTGAATAAATGAATCTTTCCAAATAACCATAAAAAAGAAACGAGATACTCATTAAAATCTATAGAACCTGTAAAACCCAAAAATGTTGTTCTTTCAGGTTATGTACTTCTTTCAGCATCCAAAAAAAAAATAAATAAATAAAATAAAAATAATAATAAAGTAAAGATCAGATGTTGTAATCTACCTTTTTCCAACAGTAAATTATTTGGAATGGGAAGTTACCATTTTTTTAACAGTACAAAATGGATATTTTCTCAACAAATAAATATTATGACTATATTGCTGCATGCTTCACATATTTTTATTGAGTTTTTAGGACTGCTGATTTGCGTAGCTTTGCACTTCAAAAGAGACTTTCAAAGGCATTATTTCTTCAAATGTTAAAATTATTTACTCTAAACATGCATTCAGTTATGCAAACTCATTGTATCTTTATCCCAAGGACACGAAATTTAGTATAATTATAGTGTTGTTTAGTCCTTTCCAAAAATGTTTTTGCTTTTTGTTCAAAGTGCACCTAAGTTTGGCCGGGCATCCCCCCAAACGAACTGAATTTGCTGATTATCGCCAGAAATACGACCCCTTGTTCACCCTCATTAGCTGTCAATTACTACCCTGATTGGTATTAATAAATAGCCATACAGGGGTATATAATAAAGATTTACCTGCTGTCTCCAATTACAGAAATCCTTACAACAAAACTTTCTCTTAAAATTAAGAAACGTAGAGTTTTAAGATGAAGAATTTGAATTGAAAGATTTTAAAAATCTCAAATTTCAAGAAATATGTATACGATTCTCTGCATGAATTCGGTAAAATGATGTATTTAACGTAATAAACATATCTGAGGTTAGAATGAAATATATGGGAATAACGAACAGTATTCAAGCCCAAAAGTCCATTAAAAGTTATAAAATTAGAGCTGAGCAAACACAGATCTCCAAAAATTAGAGATGGGTTATGTGCAATGGAAGAGTGAGCATCC